AGGGTTTAGGGTTTTAGGGTTATGAATGTCCTGCGTTTCAGCTCTTCCCTGGTGCCTTCCGCTCTGCTCGTCTCCGCGGATCTTGAGGCCTTGAAGCTGACAGTGACTTTGCCTCTGCCGAAGCTCACAGGCAAGAGATGTAGTTGGAGGAGTTCTCGTGCCTTCCTCACAGCCCCAATTCTCCTTGGAAGCATGTGGCTTTACAATCTTTGCATGGCACTCAGACATTCCCGAAGGGACTGCCTGAGTTGCACTGAAGACGGTGCTGGAGAGTAGCAGCAGTCTTTTCCGAATTGTGTGCGATTCACGTTCTGCAATCGGATGCAGATTTCAATGCTTTGCCCCTCGAGAACCAAAACGAAATTGGTCAGATGTGCTCCGCATGCCAGAATTCCATTGTTCCATGTCACCTGGCTGCTTCTCTAATGGCTACGCATGATTCTGCAGCACTGCGTCGCCTTCGTTTCAACTTTCCGCATCTCCTGTGCATATGTACCCCCTTTGTTTTCGCTTCAATTAATGTCGCTCCTCCAGTGCAACTATGCTTGTGTCGTTCTTCCTTTCACTGGGCTCTGGTCCGCATTCATGCCGCCACGGCTCATGTCGCAATTGATGACAGTTACTTCTGACGATGTGGTGAGGATGATGATGATACTGGTGGGAGGATTATGGTGACGAGGATGAAGATTGGTCATCGTTACGTATCCTGCCTTGCTAGGCGGTGTATGTAATGTTTGGCGCGCCTGTCCACCCGCAAGCATGCGAGCCAGTTGCAACGGCCAACGCATGAAATTTTAAAGCTGATGGGAAGTAATGTTATTGCGCGACTTCCTGACCGCATCCGCACAAACTCGAAGCCGATAGGACGCGTCGCTGCTGGCGGGTTATGCCGTTGGCGATGTCCGGGTGCCTGACGACGGCAGCAAGTCGCGCAACGATGCACGCCACCGTGGGCTGCCACGATTTTGGAGCGCATAGACCCGGCCCACCGTGTGCAGCCAGAATGGGCAGCGGTTGATGGCTGCACGTGAAGAAAGGAGCAGAAAAGCTGCTTGTAAATCGCCCAAGTTTGGAATCATGGGTGTCGTGTTTCGCAAGCAGCTGTGCTGCACGAACACATCTTGCCAAGCGGCGCTCCAGGCACGAAGCTTGGCGATCGCATCGCCTGTCTAGGGTCAGCACGCGTGCGCTTGTTCCCCGGCCATGTTCTGTTGAGGGCCGCCTGGGCCCCCAGCCGACACAACATCGGGCAGCGGCCGGGCGGGATCCGGACCTACATCGACACACATATGCGTCGTCGTGAGGGCGCGGTTTTGCCTCATTATGCCACCTTGGAAGAGGGGCGCAA